GGAATCGGGGTGGGGACCCTCTGCCCAGGGAGGGGTGTGCAGCTGGGTGCCGGTGGCCTTGCAGCCCCAGGCACCCGGTGGGTGAGCTCTTAGGATACCAGCGCACCTGGTGGGCGAGTTCTTGGGGTGCCCATGCTCCCAGTGGGCAAGCTTTTGTGGTGCCTGTGCTGCTCATGCACTCAGTGGGCAAGCTTTTGGGGTACCTGCACGCTTGGTGGGTGAGCTCTGCGCCTGTGCAGCACCACGCACTTGAGGGATGAGCTCTTGGGGTGCCCATGCTGCCCATGCACCTGATGGACAAGGTCTCAAGGTGTTTTTTTTCCTGCGTGTGCACCCTCTGGGCAAGCTCTCGGGGTGCCCATGCCCCCCATGGCTGAGCTCTTGGGGTGCCTGTGCACCCAGTGGGCAAGCTCTTGGGGTGCCTGTGCAGCACTATACACCTGATGGACGAGCTCTTGGGGTGCGCGTGCCCCCATGGGCACGCTGCCAGCGCCGTGGTGGGTCTCCTCTCGCAGGCCGCGCTGGGCTGCCGGGCGGCGCAGGTGCTGATGCAGTACTGCATCCTGGCCAACCACTACTGGTTCCTGGTGGAAGCCGTCTACCTCTACAAGCTGCTGATCGGGGCAGTCTTCTCCGAGAAGAATTACTACAGGCTCTACCTCTACCTGGGCTGGGGTAGGGGCCACCCGGGCGTGGGGCGGGGCCGGGTATGGTGCCCGGCGTTGGCGAGCGCCGCAGCCCAAACCGGCCCCGGGAAGGTGCGGGGTGGGGGCTCTGCTGACCCTGGGCATCCCCCCATGGCGTCCCCCAGCCCGGGGCCGGTTTCTCAGCTCAGGCGGGTGCTTGGTTTTACAGGGTTTGCTGTGTGACTTGCAGGGACGCTTACTGGTGGATCATCCGCATCCCCATCCTGCTCGCCTCCCTGGTAGGGGGGGCACCCGCCAGCCCCACACCTTTTCGGAGAACAGCAGCTCAGCCCCTGGCTCCCGGCCCCGGGAGGCGGTGGGGGGCAGCGACCCCCAGGGCAGCTCCCCGCAGAGCCCAGGAGGGAGGGGTTGGCCTCCAAGGCATCACGCTAAATGCACATGGTTGGGTTTTTTTTTGCACCAGCTTGCTAACCCCCAGGCTCTGGGGGTCTGTGCAGGGGGGGCTGCGCTGAGCCCCAGCGAAGGGGGCTAGGGGTGGCCCCTGCTGCTTCCTAGCCGGGATTTTGGGATGGCGGGAGGGGAGGAAGGGCACGTCTGGGGACCCAGCGCTGTTGGGCTGCAGCAGCCTTGGCAGTACAGGGGGGGATGTCATCTCCTGCGGCCCCCGAGGGTGCGTATCGTGGCCAGGGTGGGCTGCGAGGGGTGGGGGTGCTGGGCACCTGCAC